CCCAAGGACTGTAGCCCACCAGGCTCTTCTGTCCATGGAATTTCCCAGGCAAGAATACTGGAGTGGGTTGCCATTTCCTACTCCAGGTAATCCAGGGGATCTTCCCAACACAGGGATCAAACCCGCATATCTTGCATCTCCTGCATTGGCAGGCAGATTCTTTACCACTGTGCCACCTGGGAAGCCCACAATACAGAATTATTCTAATATGGTCAATAATCAGATTAAACTTAATGCAGACTCAACAGTGTCACAATGTTAATCTTCAGCTGAATTAGACAGCTTCACAGTGTTATCAGATAATGCATTATTCATGCCATTATAAGGCATTTGAGAACTTTATGCAGCAAGTTTTGGTTAAGTGTCAGTCAGTCAGTTCAGTCGCTAAGTCGTGTCTGACTCCATGAACCATAGCATGCCAGACCTCCCTGTCCGTCACCAACTCCCGGAGTTTACCCAAACTCATGTCTATTGAGTCGGTGATGCCGTCCAAACATCTCATCCTCTGTCATCCCCTTTTCGTCCTGCCCTCAATCTTTCCTAGCATCAGGGTCTTTTCCAATGAGTTAGCCCTTTGCATCAGGTGGCCAAAGTACTGGAGTTTCAGCTTCTGAAGTGAAGTGAAGTTGCTCAGTCATGTCCGACTCTTTGCGACCTCACGGACTGTAGCCTACCAGCCTTCTCAGTCCATGGGATTTTCCAGGCAAGAGTACTGGAGTGGGTTGCCATTTCCTTCTCCAGGGGATCTTCTCAACCCAGGGATCGAACCCAGGTCTCCTGCATTGTAGGCAGACGCTTTACCCTCTGAGCCACCAGGGAAGCCCTTCAGCTTCTAGATCAGTCCTTCCAATGAGCACCCAGGACTGACCTCCCTTAGGACGGACTGGTTGGATCTCCTTGCAGTCCAAGGGACTCTCAAGAGTCTTCTCCAACACCACAGTTCAAAAGCATCAATTTTTCGGCACTCAGCTTTCTTTATAGTCCAACTCTCACATCCATACATGACCACTGGAAAAACCATAGCCTTGACTAGACCAATCTTTGTTGGTAAAGTAATGTTTCTGCTTTTTAATATGCTGTCTAGGTTGGTTGTAACTTTCCTTCCAAGGAGTAAGCGTCTTTTAACTTCATGGTTGCATTCACCATCTGCAGTGATTTTGGAGCCCCCAAAAATAAAGTCAGCCACTGTTTCCATTGTTTTCTCATCTATTTGCCATGAAGTGATGGGACCGGATGTCATGATCTTAGTTTTCTCAGTGTTGGTTAAGTGTGAGGTCTGATTATTCTGAATGAGCAGAGAGAGCCTTGACATCATGAATATAATTGTGACTAGCACTCTTACATAAGCAGGCCCTCTCTGAATTAGTATTATAGTAGTCAAACCACAAAGCCAAGCAGATTCAATAAAGAACCAGACCTGAGGCTCTCTCATCCAACACTGCTAATTTGGTTATAGCAGAACAGTATCATTAAATTGATGTTAATTTAATTATTATTGATTTTTCAGGAATTCTTTTGAGGGGTTGCAAGTTATAAATTTGCTTTGGTTTTTATAATTTTAAAAAAATTATTCCAAGTTTTATGTTTATACATATTCAAGTAACATTATAAAAAATGTTAAGTCAAATTGGAAAGTCCCTGAAAAGGCTTCCCTTTTAGGGGATTATTTATTACTCTAGTTTGAAAAAAACTATGACTTGGGAGAAAGATCTTTGGCTTATGTTTGTGTTATTGGCATCATAGACTTGTCTCCTACGCTTCTTCAGTTAGCTTTATGCATGATAAACTTGGGCTTCCCTGGTGGTTCAGCAGTAAAGAACTCCCCTGCAACGCAGAAGACACGGCAGGAGCTGCGGGTTCAGTTCCTGGTTTGGAAAGATCCCCTGGAGAAGGAAATGGCAACCCACTCCAGTATTCTCATCTGGAAAATCCCATGGACAGCCCATGCAGCTGAAAAAGAGTCAGACACGACTTGGCAACTAAACAACAATGATAAACTTGGCTCTCCAATTATTTATCATTCATCTTTGGTTTACCCCATAGCACCAGGCACAATACTGGGCATGTAATAGGGGGTGGGTAAATACAGGGCTGTGTGGGAGTGATCTGGGCTCCATGAGTGGAGTGAAATTGATTGGAAATGGATTAGAAAGAAATGGAGTGAAATGTGTCCTTATCTTGCAAAATATTTTTTTCATTAAACATTAAAGGGAATTTTGCCTTATAAAGCCAAGCAAACTGAGGTTGCTTTGAAAGAGATTAAAAATTATGCAAAAGACATCACTGAAAAATTAGTATCTTCTGAAGTTTAGATACGCAGAGCAAATATATTTAAATTCTTTTCAATGTCCCTTTCATCAGCAAACATTTAATAGCATTACTGACATCTGAGTTGTTTGTGGGGACCAAGATAATAGAAATCATTGACTCTCAAAGAGCTCAAAATCCCATAGATCATATGGGAGCACCAGAGGTGTAAACTTCAAAGAACATTATTTCTTCTCTATTTCTCATTAAATACTTTATGTTCTGGGAAAATTCCATAGCCAGGCTATAAGTTCTGATATGTACAAGGGCCTCTGTGTCTCCCATGGTGCTTAATACAGAGGAGCTGCTCAGTCAATATGTATGAAGTAAAAAGGTCTTTAAACTTGACAAAAGGGGAGATAAAAACCCCAATAATCTCCAAGAGTCCTGCCCATGTACATCCAGGGAATCCATACAGCTGCCATATACCCTAGTACATGCCTCTACTCCTGAGTATACATGCCCAGACACACACACTCTTTGTTTGCAGGGCAGTGAGAGTCTGAAGCAGAACACTAGGGGAGGCAATGTGAAGCTGTGTCCCCAGAAGACCTTCCCCGCATCTGGAAATCTGACCTGACCAGCTCAGGGTGGGTAATCCAATCCCGGTCACATTTTCAGTGAGTTCTCAGATATCGACAGCCTTCCTGATATGTACCCAGGCCTGAATTTCCCCCTGGGCTAGCCCAGGCTGCCCGATCATTTCAGGTCTTTTTTTTTTCCTTTTTAGGTCCTACCCTGAGGCATTCGGGATCCTAGCTCCCTGACCAGGGATCGAACCCGTGCCCTCTGCATTGGGAGCACAGAATCTTAGGCACTGGACCCCCAGGGAAGTCCCTGGCTGGCCATTTCAGTGCAAGAACGGAGCTTCTGTGGGTGGGGCTTGGCTGCAACCCACAGGCCCTGTGGAGGGGTCTGCTACCTAGAGTTAGGAACCAAGCTGGCCCTTGTGGGCATGCCTGTTAGGGCCCCCAGGAGTGGTCTCAGTGCCCTTTTCTAGGATGTAAACAGAGCAAAAGGGAGAGTCCAGCTTCCACCCACAGGAACTCCAGGGGTTTGGGTCACGACAGGTGGCAGGGCAAACCCATCTTAGGGCCCAGGAATCTGAGTTTTAAACAAGATCTGCAGGTGATTCTGAAGTGCTCTCAAGGTGGAGGACTGCTGAGTGTGCTAAGGGCACCCATGCTGTTGGCCCTCCCACCCTGCTGAGGTTCAGAGTTGCTCCCCTCCCCTGGTGAAGGCCATCCTGAGACGCCACCCAGAATGGCTGGGAATTGATCTGTGGCCCACAAACCATCCTCTACCACCAACCCAGTCCCTGTCGGCTGCTGCTGTGGCCTTTCAGGCCATCCAGGTGGGAGCTGCTCTGACGTTTCTGTTTCACCCTCCTGACTGAGAATGTCGTAGTCACCACCAGAGCCTCGCCCTGCCCTCCTGGCCTCCTCCCTGCCTCTGCAGCTGGCGGCTGCACCTTCATTTTCTTTTGCAGGCATCACATGTCTGCCATGGAAAGAGACAAGGCTAAAAGTGGCCTCAACATCATATCTCTTGCCTGTGTCGTGAGCTGTGAGCCTCGTCCAGATCAAGGGTTCTATTCTCGATACTGGCAGGCTGAGGGCCAGTGCCAAGGACTCTCTTCTCCAGTATAGGCTCAGAAAGAGGGTGATTAGAAAAAGGAAACTGGGGCTTCCCTGGCTGTCCAGTGGTTAAGACATCATCTTCCAGTGCAGGGGGGTTGGGTTCTATCCCTGGTCAAGAGCTAAGATTCCCAGGTGCCTCATGGATGAAAACCAAAACATAAAACAGAAATAATAATGTAACAAATTCAAGAAAGACTTTAAAAATGGTCCACATCCAAAAAAAAAAAAAAAAAAACCTTTAAAAAAAGGAAGAAAAAGGAACCTAAGAATTTTCTCTGTTCTGTCCTCTCCCCTTCCTTCTGATGCTCCCCTCTGCATCCCATCACTGCATCTTGGACCTGGCATGAATCTAGCATGTGAGTATGACAACAGTTCTGTTGGCCAAGGGTGCAATTAGCTCTATCTTCTGTCCCTAGGCTGGACTTGTACCCTTAAAAACCTTCCCTGTACCTTAAAGCTGGTGGAGAGATTTGGCACCATCGGGTTCTTAGTTCAATATGCTTGACACTCCATAAATAATGATTATTATTCCGAAGGGCAAATCCAGCCATTGCAGAAAAAACTAACCTGATAACAAGGAAGACAAAAATCAGCCAAATGAGGCTTTCTTCCTGTGCGCTGGATACGTTTCTTACTTTTAGCACAATATTTTTCTTTTTCTGATTGGGTCTCCAGGCTGGTTGGATTTCATTGTGGTTTCACCCAATTGAGTACCTACTGCAGGCTCTGCTCACCCAGTCATTTCTAACACTGGCTTCATTTGGTAATTAGGATCACCCAGGGAGCTTTAATAAAGTACAGTTTCTTCCTTGTTGAGACTCCAGTTCAGTCAGCCTGGGATGGAGTCCTGGCATCTGCGTCTTTCTTTGTGATGAGTTAGGGAACCACAACCCTGCACCACGCTATGTGCCATGGGGATACAAAAGGATTCTGACCCTGCTATTGCCTTTGAGGAGCTTATGGTCTAGTTGGGGATGGGTATTTTAGACACTCAGCAGCATTTCGTTCTATTAAGTTCATAAGAATAACGTAGAGCCCGTGTTGGAAAAGAAGATGGAGAGGGCAGGATTGAGGTGGGTGTTTCCACAGTTTCTGTGTGTGCGTGTTTAGCTGTGAATTTCACCTGTTGATATTTTCCTGCCCCTTAATCGGTCCATTGTTTCATTGAGGATTGGAGGTAAGAATGCAGACTTGTAAATTCATTGAGCTAGGAGAGTTATCTAATCCAAATGCCTGTGCTCACCTTCGAAGACACTAAATTCCAGAGAGATGACATGACTTGCCAGATGTCCCACAGAGGTCCTGGCAGAGCTGGAGGTGAATCTTGGGCTCAAGCTAGAGCATCTGGCATCCAGGGAGAGACAAGGACTACCTCCCACAAACTTCCTCTTGAGAAGCAGCATGGTAGAGAGATTTGTTACAGAACCCATTATGAAAATATCACCAACCTCGCTCAGTGGTCCCACAGCTCTCCCGCACTGGGGCTTCATTTCTGCCCACCTCCACCTCTTGTAGCTGTCGGGCTGAGGAGATTCACAGGAAGGGCTTTTGGACTTGGGCAGTTAGAGCCAATTTGCCGCTTGTAATGATTGCTGAGTACATCTTACATTGGGGTTCTAGAGCCATCCCAAGGCCTCTTCGGTCTAGGACCTAAAAGGCTGGAAGGGTATTCCCCCTCTGACCTGTAGTCCTCCTGTTTGGGGATAATCTAGTTAAATAGTCACAGAAACATTGAAACAGAGAGAGTGCTCATATTTGGATCAGCTGTCAGTAAACTTCTAGGGGACGAGAGAGAAGCTAGAAGGAAAAGTAGTCTCAGGGACAAGGGATGGAGTAGGAGTGGAGAGTATGGAAAAGAGCAAGCCCCGATGTTTCTGGAAGCTGAGCCAACTGTCTCCCTTCTGTCTTTGGTGACAGGGGAGACAGTGTTAGGACATGGGCTTTCTCTTTTGTAGCTTTTTCTATGTAGGCTAGGGTTCTCTTCACCACCTCCTCCACCAACCTGCTGTGGTCTTGAGTGATGTGACCCAAAAAACCAAAGCAATATACACTAGGGAGGGCTCTGTTGCCCCTTATATTTCTGTTGGATTATGGACTTGACATTTTTCAGCTTTGTAACATATATGGTGGTGTGTGTATGTATGTGTTCAGTCATGTCCGACTCTTTACGACCCTGTGGACTGTAGCCTACAAGGCTCCTCTGTCCTTGGAATTTTCCAGGCAAGAATATTGGAGCAGGTTGCCATTTCCTACTCCAGAGGATCTTCCCAACCCAGGGATTGAACCCACATCTCCTGCACTGGCAGGCAGATTCTTTACCCCTGTGACACCTGGGAAGCCCTTTGTAACATATAATAGTGTAATTAACATCTCACCAGGTCCAGAGGATAAAAGGAATTGGTCTAGCTGTAAAAATCAAGGAGATATAGGAATCAAAGACAAGGAAAGCAAATGGGCATCTCTATGAACTAACTAGAGGATTTTTCCTCCTCTTGGTACTTGAATGTATGCAGAAGGGCAATATTGCTAAGATAAGGCTATCTGTGAATTATTCCCCCCTCTTCCTGCCGTATTTCCTGCTTTGAGCTTGCAGAAAGAGCTCTGTGAGGACTCACCTTGCTCTCTCCCTTCAAGTAAATTATTTTTTCCCAGCTGAAGACACTGGAACGCACCCAATTCTCAGAAGATGCTAAAGGACGCCCAATTCAGGAGCCCAGAAAACACAACACCTAGCCAGCCTTGCTCCAGGCTGCTTTGACCTTGTGGGTAGTTAACTGGGTTTCTGCCTCGTACTATGTGTCCCTGCAGTGCCCCTTCCAGGAGCTGGTTTCTGTCTTACTGTCTCGTTCAGAATTTCTGCCTGGTTCTCTTATCTGCTGATCCTGTCGGAGACTCTGAGGAGTTCTGTCAGTGCCTCTCAGTGCTGGGGCCCTGCCCCTGAAGCCAGCTCCTCTGGCTACTTCTTTTGGCTCTTGCACCCTGCTGACCATCTAGGTGGTTCTATTATGATTCAGGGAAGCCATTTAGCATCTGTGGTGGGCCCCAAAGATGTCCATGGCTTAATCCCTGTAACTTTGAATGAATAGGTTGAGTCACATGGCAAAGGCAACTTCACAGATGTAATAAAGGATTGCAGATTTTAAAATACAGAGTATTTCTTCTGTACTTAAGAAAAAAACTTTTCATTTTGTATTGGGGTGTAGTCAGTTGACAATGTGGTGATAGTTTCAGGTGGACACTGAAGGGACTCAGCCGTATATATACAAGTATCCATTCTCCCCCAGCCCCCCTCCCATCCTGGCTGCCAAACAACATTGGGCAGAGCTCCCTAGGCTATACAGTAAGTCTTTGTTGGGTGTCCATTTAAGGATAGCAGCGTGTACATGTCTGATCCCAAGCTGAACTCAGGTGAGCCCAATATTACTAATCAAACCCCCGGTTTTCTGGGTTCATCACCCCTCTCCCAAGTGTATCATTATTCCTCCTAGTGCCTCATGTTCTTCTAACCCAGTAACTTTCTGTTGTTGCTAAAGATGGGCAAGGATTACTGTGAGATGAACTGCTTGTGATGACAGCTATTATTTCATGAATGCTTATTGTGGTCCATTAGCTTTACAACCATCACTTCATTTTCTAAACACAATAACCACGTGAGGGAGTAGTTATTGCCATCATTTTGCAGACCAGGACACTGACATTAAAGCTCAGAGAGGTTGAGGGTCTTGCCCTGGGCTGTACGTTTGTTAAGCAACTGGGAAAAGAAAGTGAAAGTGTTAGTCACTCAGTCGTCCGACTCTGCGACCTCATGGACTGTAGCCCGCCAGGCTCCTCTGCCCGTGGAATTCTTTAGGTGAGAATACTGGAGTGGGTTGCCATTCCCCTCTCCACGAACTCAGGGTCTCCTTTATTGCAGGCGAATTTTTTATTGTCTGAGCCACCAGGATATTTTGATTTTAAGGCCTGTTTCCAAACACTGGATCTACCTCCTTCCACAGTTAGGAAGGTTCTGTAAACCCCAAAGGATTTACCTTTGCTCATCATCTGCTTTTTGGAAAAGCAACTGTTCTGATTTTACACAGACGACCACACTTTCTTTGATTTCCTTCCTTTAAGAGGTGGAGCTTAATTTTCCTCCTCCTGCCTGGGGCTGAGCCTGGTGTCGTGCTTGTGACGAACAGCATACGGTGAAGTGATTCTGTGTGACAGCAGCTAGGTCACAGGAGGCACTGGGGCTTCTTCTCCGATTGCCTGCTCCCTCTGAGGGAAGCAGGCTGCCGGTTTGTGAGCCGCTGTCTGGAGAGCTCCATGTGGCGAGGAACTGAGGCCTCCAGCCAACAGCCAGGGAGAAATGAAGGCGGGCCATCAACCGTGTGACTGAGCTTGGAGGGGACCCTTCCCTCCAGATCACTGTGGCCTCCGCTGCAGCGGCAGAAACCTCCCCAGAGACAGACCCAGCCAGAAACCCCAGCTAAGCCCCTCCCTGATTCCTGACCCACGGAAGGGACTAGATAATTAACGCTGGTTGCTTTAAGCTGCAAAGTTTGGGGAGTAACTTGCTGCGCAGCAAGAGAAAGCCAATAGAGGGATCATGCCTGTCCTCTCTCTGCTGACGAGCCTCCAAATTAAACTCTTTCACGGGTCACAGATATTAGAAGGGAAAGCACCTTTGGGAGATGAAATAGTTCAGCCTGCTTGCGTCTGCACTAAGACAGACAGTCATGTTTAACTTCACTGGGTGTTTGTGAGAATTAAGTGCAGAGACAGGAGGAGTATGTCTAAGTGTTTGAGTTGAGTGAGCGAGTGGTCAGTGAAAGCCATGCTCCCTACTCTGGGTGAGGATGCTGGGGCCCAAGAGATGAGGGGACCAGTCAGGGCCCCAGAGCTCAGCAGCTGAATCCTAAAAGCAATTCCCAGGGCATCCCCTCAGTGTCCCCCCTCCTCCTACCCCTTTCCCCACCACTTCTCTGCCTCTTCCTCATCCACCAAGTGGAGTGAAGGCATCAGTGAGCCACGTAGATGATGTTTGAGGGGTGTGAGCAAGGCGTGTGGGAAGGCATGGAGGGAGAAGGCTGTCCAGGGGCTGTGCTGTGTGACGACGTCGCACTTGGTCCCCGAAAGTCAAAGCAGTTGCTGGAAATTCTCAAGGCAGTTGTGATGGGCTGAAGCCTGAAGTTAAGGAAGGTGAGGCTGGCAGGCAGGATGGAACAGCGGGAGGAGGCTGGCAGCCGGGATGCTGATGGCGTGGGCAGCCCAGCTCCCGCCTGGCCGGCCCTGTGCCGGTTTGTCACCCCAGCCCCTGGTACAGTCACCTTGCACACAGCAGGCACCTAATAAATGTGTGCTGTCCTGGCTGTGAGTCACTCTGCTTCCCCGTCTCCAATATGCCTCCTCTCTCAGGTCCCAGGTGCTAGTGCTCCCCGGTCTTCAAAACGCAGCTCAGATACACCCCCTCCACGCGTGGTATTGGCACGGCTTTCTCGGATCCACAGAAGAGTTCACCATGGACTCGCTCTCCTTTCTCATCCATCTCCCCCTCCCAGGAGCGCAGGAGCTCCGAGTCGTGAACAGACCCAGCTTGCCCATCTGGGTCTTATCTCCACTTCACGCTCTGATTCTTCCCTGTCCCCTGTAGGTCTTTGACCTTCACACTGGTGAGCGCTTGGGTGAGGACTGCGTGGGGGGTTGTGACTGGCAGAGGGGTGGGGCTTTGCTTCCTTGAAATGCTATCGTGTGTGTGTGTGTGTGTGTGCGTGCGTGCACGCACGCACGCCCATGTGCATGGAGTGAGTCATGTCTAACTCTCTACAACCTCATGAACTGTAGCTTGCCAGGCTCCTCTGTCCATGGGACATCCTAGGCAAGAATACTGGACTGAGTTGACATTTCTCCTCCAGGGGATCTTCCCGACTTAGAGATCAAACCCGTGTCTCTTGCATCTCCTGCATTGGCAGGTAGATTCTAGTGCCCCCTGGGGAGCCCAAATGCTATCATGTTAACATTGTATAAAGCCTTTCCTGTCAAATGTCTGTGCGTGAAGTCAGGTGTTTGCACCTGTTTTAAAGGTAGGAGCCGTTGAGAAGGCAGAGGGGTCAGGGGTGGGCAGCTGGTGCATTATCCTGGCTGGGAAGAGCAGTGTCTGAGGCGAGCCTGGGCCACGGATGGCTTTGGCCATGCACAGCCCAGCTGATGTCCCACACAACGGCATTCTTCTCTGCCTGAAGATTTCATTCTGGACTCTTGGTGGCCCAGTCCCTCCTCAGTAGGCTTGCATCTTACATGTACTAAGTCATCAGATAACGCAAAAGTCTCAGATTCAAAACTGTCTTTGAAAAATCTCTGGTGTTGCTGTGAAACTATTATGTGTGTAAAATCCTGGGCCAAATTATGTGGCATGTAATGACCGGCGTATAAAATAGAGGGACGAGTGCAAATTCAATATCACAGTGTTTAACAGAGAACCTCTGCCAAAGAGAATGATTTTTCAACATAGCAGTCATGCTCTTAGGAGGATCAACTATCCAGCTTGCCAAGAACTGTCCTGGGTCTCGTGCCATCAGTTCTGTGACTCAGGAAACCCCCAGGTCAGCACTGAGAGCCACTCACATTGGAAGAGGCCTCATGGGCACCAGGGCCGACGGTGGGCTTTGCATGTTCCGGCGGCCTGTAACTCCTCCTCTTTCTCTCTGCATCCTCCCACCCACAGTGCATGTAATTGAATTTGTACATCCCATAGAAAATGCCCTCAGCCTCTTGGTGTGCTAGAAAAGCAGCAAAAAGACAGGCGTTGGCATTGCTGAGTCCTTGGCATCACTCATATAGCAGAAAGTCAAGGTGTGTGTGTGAGTGTGTGTGTGTAGGGGCAGAGTGTGGTAAAGCAAGAAGCAGCTGCTGACAGGTGTCCCAGATTCCCTGGCCTACACGGTTCATTCTCAACTGCAGCTGGCTGAAGCTGACGCTTCCTGGCTGGGCTTGCTCCTGCAGTCGGGATGTCTGTGGGCAGCAATCGGCCAGTCCTGGGGACATGTGTCCCTGTCAGATCTTGAGTGGGACAGGGAACAGGTGACTGAGAGCCGCTCCCTGTGTTTGGTTGGTGCTTACACCCTTAACTTGGCTTTGGTATCAGTGACTTCTCGTCAAACCCACACCTTTACCTCTGTGTTGGAGTTGCTTGGACAGAAGATCACTTGAAAAGGTTTATTCTCCCTTCTTCTCTATCTGGAGTTGCTTAGAACCAACTGGTTGACAGCAAGAAGATTTTGACAGGGGAGCAACATCTAGTTTTGCCAAACAGCTTTTGTGGGGCGGGACCAAGCCACTACCGAATCTGCAGAGGGGGGCGGAAGCACATAAATCCATGCGTGTTCCTCCTCTGATCTCCCAACAGTTGAGGAAGGGCATTTAAGCAATGCGGAATCAGGAGTTTGCCGGGGGTCTAACGGTGGGTGAGATAGGACGAGCGCAGCAGACAGGGACAGGGACAAGTGAGACCCACAGCCCCGAGAGCGCCCACCACACTGCTAATGTTTTCTCCGGGAGAAAGTAGGGGAGCCCAGAGTGTGCATGCAAGCCCCTCTTCTCTTTCCACTGAGAAACAGCTCTGGGAAAGCCCCTGGGGTCTTCATGCTCACACCAGCGGTTTTATAAGCCTGGCCATCTAATTAGTGTATATTTTGTTTTGGTCCGGTTTATATGTAATTAGGCGGTTTTTTTCACTGTCTTGAGAAATACGGGAGAAGCATCTAAAAGCCTTCTTCTGTATATGGATCTACAGGATCCAGGTGTGAAGGTGGTTGGGGGGCATTCATGGAGGAAGGGAGACAGGCTGCGGGCACTGGCAGAGGAGCAGGGCTTCGTGACCGTGTTTGTTTCAGGGCAGAGGAGACTGTGAGGATTACTCTAGCTACATGCTGTGTGTTATCTTTGGGGCCAACTCGAGCTTCAGCTGTGGTTGGATGGCACTGCTCATACATATCCAAGTTTCCATATGCTGCTCCAACTCTTGAGATTCCCTTGGACAGCAAGGAGATCAAAGCAGTCAATTCTAAAGGAAATAAACCCTGAATATTCACTGGAAGGACTGATGCTAAAGCTGAAGCTCCAATACTTTGGACACCTGATGTGAAGAGCTGACTCATGGGAGAAGACCTTGATGCTGGGAAAGATCAAAGGCAGGAGGAGAAGGGGATGACACGATGAGATGGTTGGATGGCATCATCGAATCAATGGATGTGAATTTGAACAAACTCTGGGAGATAGTGAAGGATAGGGAAGCCTGGCGTGTTGCAGTCCATGGGGTTTCAGAGTTGGACACGACTTAGTGACTGACCAGCAACAACTCCATCGCACCATGTTCCAGAAAAACTGCCCACAGGGCTCCACAGACCCGGAAACTCCCTGGGAGCATCTCATCTCGGCACCTAACATGGATTCTAATTAGATGTGTGTTTATCAGTTTACTTGTTGAATGCTCTCTGCTTTCTACTCTGAAGTCCAGTGACAGAAGGACTACAGCAGTTTGACTCAGCATTGTAACTCCAGGACCTAACGCAATGCCTGGCTTAATGTATGGGTATTGTAAATATTTACTGAATAAATAATTGTTCTTTCCCATGAGGTTCTTTCAGGAAGCTGGCGGAGCTTGCCAAATGCTTATGCCCACGTGTGAGTGAATATTAAACAGAAGACACAAGAATACCTATTTCACTTTTGGAGAGTGTGGATTTTATTCGGTGATTTTTTTTCAGTCCCTCTTGATCTCTGTTAATGAGCTTAGTCTATGAGGCAGAAGAGTCTGGAAGTTGGCCTTTCTGCGCTGTGCATAGTTGTGTTTGACTCTCTGTGATCCCTTAGACCATAGCCTGCCAGGCTCCTCTGTCCATGGGCATTCTCCATGCCAGAATACTGGAGTGGGTTGCCATTCCCTTCTCCAGGGGATCTTCCCAACCCAGGGATCAAACTCAGGTCTCGGGCATTGCAGGTGGATTCTTTACTGTCTGAGTCACCAGAGAAGACCATTTGCCTTTCAGTCCTTTTAAATGAGCTGCAGAAGGAGGTGGTTCTGGGGACAGGGGAGGGGAACTCACTGCGGGGGGAGGGGGTGGTTTGGCCAGCTGAGAACAGGTTGGCTCTGACAAGATCCTTTCAGGCTCATTAAAGATCGGTTGCTTCCAGGCCCTGTGGCATCCCCTCTGAAGGAGAAGAGTGGCAGACCGACTAATACCTGGGAATTCAGAAAGTGAAGTGAAACTGATTCAGTCGTGTCTGACTCTTTGCAACCCCATAGACTTTTTCAGTTGATGGAATTCTCCAGGCCAGAATACTGGAGTGGGTAGCCGTTCCCTTCTCCAGGGGATCTTCCCAACCCAGGGATCAAGCCCAGGTCTCCTGCATTGCAGGCAGATTCTTTACCAGCTGAGCTACCAAGCCTCCGAATTAGGCAGATGAGCAGAGGTTCTGCATTGAAGGGGAAGGAGTGAGGTGGGAGAAGTCACACCTCTGCCTTCCCCGTGCCAGTTAACTTGCCAGTGAAACCTTCCTCTGCCACGTGGGAGACAGGAGCCATCTCACTGACCGCCTCAGATCCCAGCCACAAATAGACCTTGGTCATCAGCCACGCTCACAGGCCCTGCTGTGGGCACCTTGCCCTCTGAAGGGCTCTCTCTCAGCCTCACTGGCTGCCTGGCATCATAGCTCACTGTTTCTAGGCAGGCTGTGTGAGGAATGGGATCTCACACCCTCTGCGGTGGCTGCTGAAGGCCTGTCGAACAGTGGAATAAGTTGAAATTGGAGGCCCTTAAGCCCACACTCCCTTAAATAGAAAACAGGCAAATCACCCATGGAAAATAGCCCTTCTCCTGCTCTAATGTAAGGCTTCCTGGGGATCGCGATGTCTGTGCTGACAAGCGATTCACCAAATTGATGCTTTTCCAGCATGGCTTTGTCTTTGTGCTAAAACAGTGTCAAACTGTACATTTTAGTAACAGGGCCCTGATGTGGCTTCTGAGCCCTCTGTAGGGATGGATGATTAGACAAAAGCATGATTGGGACTTTTCTCAGTGGGGGAGGTTGTGGTACTTATGGCAGGATTAGGTACTTATGGAGGGTCTATGGTTCATATTGATATCAGAAGAAGTGGGTCAGGATGAACCAAGCTCAGGGGAGATATGAAAAGCAAGAAGGAAAAGGAACCGATGGTTTTGAGGCCTTGAGGGTGCAGACATTGTCCGAGCATGACAAAATGAATGACTTCATTTTGTTGATTGTCCTTGATCCTTTTGGGAGCCTGGCCTCCATCTACTTGGCGTGGGAGCAGGAGGCAAAATCTGGCCAGAAAAGGAGCTTTAGGATGTTTAGAGTGTCAGTTCAGTTGGGGAAGCAACAGGCTCAGCTCTGAGATGACTCCAGAAGTCAGAACTCAGCGTGCCAACTTGGCCACAAGGCTCACCAGTTACACAGTCTCCTCTGGGCTTGTGGTCATGGGCTCTGCAACTGGGCTGCAGCTTGGTGGGGAGGAGAAACACCCAGGATTTCTCTTCCTCCTTCAGAACAGAGGTCCTCAAACTAGCCAGCACCAGCACCCCGAGTTTCTGATCTGGGGGTGGGGCTGAGAATTTGCTTTTCTAACCAGCTCCCAGGTGATGCTGCTGCTGGTAGTCCAGGGACC